TGGTGTACCACCTGCAACACCAGGTGCTCGTAAAGTTGCTGAAGTGACGCTGGTACTATATGTAACTTTCCGACAAGTTTTTGGTATTTTTGGTGCAAGTTCATCTAGTACATCCCTACTAACGTTAACGTTATCAAAAGTATGAACAAAACTCCAGTAGTAGTATTTCTCTGGTCCATAATAATTTTGGGGTATTTACCTCTATAAATATAAAATTGCAAAGGTCGTATTAGAGTAAAACTTCGAATTTAATACATAACTTACAGTTAAGGGCGTGTTAGGAGCGACTTTTGTGTCAGCGGTTTTTGGAAAAGTAGCCAATCAAAATCGTTTCCATCGACTTTTGCAAAAACCGCTCTGGACGACCTCCTTGAGGTCGTTTACAGCGATTATTGGGATTGTGGCTATTTATTGGGCAAAAATATCAGAATAAATTGTTGGTTGCAAACTAAAATTTCGCAGGAGCACGCCCAAAGCACACTCTTGTCGGTTGCCGGTGGTTCGTCACTCCACTCCGGTGTGTACTGGTAGGTCCTCGACGGGAGAACTTTACCCATGTGAAGCACGGCTGTGGTAAGTTTCATTTCCATGTCGAGGGTAGCTGCACACAGAACGCATCGAACGCTGTACACATGCCCCTCCCGCGCGACCTCCTACTTGTACTGAACCCTAGGCTCTGTGTATTGTAAATGATTTCAGGTTAGCTAGGCGTTGATCTTATGGGTTGCGCATGCCTAGAGTTAGTAGTGATGACTGCACGACTCCTTCGGGAAGGAGAAGATCACACCGACGCACAAGGTTGAAACACATAGCATTGTCGGTCGGTTTGACCTTTACCGGTGCGCCATTAGCGTGGCAGTCTATATTTCCAAGCCGCCGACTTACGACTGACTTGCGATGATACATAGTTCTCATGCGCTATATCTACTCTACGTCGTTTCGCCACTCGCCGCCTGAACATTTGGCCACCACAGCCACTACGCGACAACAATTTTCTGCGCTCCGCTGTCATAGAGCTGAAAATGGACAATGAATTTTAGGACGCATCATTGGTTGATTTTTCTCTGTTATTAACCAATGTCAGTGAAGGCAAAAAGTCGCTGATATTTTCAGCGGCTTGTGGAAAAAGCCAAAAACCGCTGACACAAAAGTCGCTCCGATCACGCCCTAAGTAACAATCGAAGCAAACAACTACGTCGAAGTGGCTTGTGGGGCCAGTCGCTGGATAGACCTGGCGAAGGGAGTTCCGTACGTGACTACAGGTGCGAGATAAGGGTACGACATCTTCACCTTGAAGCACGAGAACTTTCACGCCACCATCATTCATTCACTTGTTCACTGTGAACCGGCTTCGCGTCGTAAAGTTAAAATCTGATCTGTTGGTGGAATTCCATTGACTCCACTGAGTACGTGTAAGCTTATTTCAATTGCTCACCTTGGATTAGGGCTGGTCTGGATGTCACCTCATAAAATTATGCCACAACCCTTTTGGCAAGTCTGCAAAGTCTCATATCCCATGAAGAAAAGGAGCAACGAAGTATCTAAAACGTTGACTGGATGCCAGTTGAATTTTGGAAAAAAAATCGATTTCTGATTGAAGTGCAAGACTTCAACGTGAACACAAACCTCCATACAAAAGTTGGACCAAATCGGTCCATTTCTTTTATGCCATAAAATACCCGATTCTCAAGAAAATTGTGGCATAAAGTTTTGAACTTTGGTGGCATCCAGACGCACAAAATCTCGAAAAATGGAATATTTCGATTTTGGCAACTTTTCTTGGAAAAACGGCCATTTTTGTGGCATCCAGACCCGCCCTTAGGGTTACGATAGAATTGGTGAACATCGCGTGTAGTAGCTATACCCTTGGGTGGAGGGACCTACTGTACTACGGGGACGCCTTGTGACCCAGCATTTCAGGCTTCCGCGGTTAGGTTACGTATTAATATACTGTAAAACTGTACTAGTATGACAGAATTGCTGAGACATGTCATCATCGAGACACTTTTGCATCGACACATTGCCCTTTCCAGTGCATGTACAGCCTGATATGTAAAGACCCACACATCAAGGACAATGGCCGAATGTGGTGTTCTCGACTGCGTCAAGCCGTACCGATACCGTGCTTTGCGGAGAAACTCGGTCAGGGCAACTGTTCGAAAATAGTATAAGTACTACGTAATATAAATCACAGTTGTGGCAATTTCTTGGCATGATATACCACTCACTATGCATACAAAATTCAAATACACATACAGAGTTGCACTGACCAAGTTTCTCCGCAAATCACTATATAGATTTGGGGAGCTCGCAATTTCTGTTCGAAAACGTGAACTTCAACTCATCGCTTTCCATCTGGCGAAAAAAAGTACAACATTTCCATCAGTTGCTGGTCCCGTTTCAGCGTTCGAACTTGACATGTGAACACAGTCTCATCTTCTCACTTTTGGATTTACCATGCCAGTCAACCATCTCCTCCAAGAACGCGTGTCGTACATCGCGTCGATCACCAAACAGGCCGACAAGGATGTCGACGGGTTCAAAGACACAAGTACCCCGCTGGACCTCGAAGACGGCGCCCTGCGCGAAGGCGGTCCGCTCGTGTACACCTCCCCCGAAGTTTTGACTCTTCTCTTCCAGTACGCCGTGGTGGGTATCTGCCGCTCCGGACTCACGGGCATGGGGCTGCCCATCTTGACCTACTACTTTGGTTTGGAGTCGGCCACGCTGAGCGCTTCGAGTGGTCTCATCACTCTGGGGTGGTCGTTCAAGGCTTTTTTCGGCCTCCTCTCGGATTGTTTCCCCATCATGGGCTACAGCCGCAAGCCATACATTTTGATTGGATGGGTTATGACTGCGATCTGTTTCATGGTGATAGCGTTGAACCCGGCGGGTCCGTCAGTGATCTTGGACAGATCGGATGAGAACATCAAGGCCGCACAGTCCTACGGGTCGGTCATCGTGCTGATCTGCGCCCTGGCCAGCTTCTGCTACATCATGGCCGACGTCGCATGTGACGCCTTGGTGGTCGAATTATCCCAACGCGAACCCGAACGCGTGCGTGGGCGTCTGCAGTCGTCCATCTACGGCACACGCTTCGTCTTCGAAGGACTGGTCACCGCCTTGTCTGGGTTCCTTATGAGCTCGGAGCGTTACGGCGGCAAGTTTGGGTTTGACATTAGCGTGAACGCATACTTCGGGATCCTCGCGGCGCCCGTGGTCGTGAATTGGTTTTTGGTGTACTTCTTCATGAAAGACCGCAAGCGTGGCGCCATCCACTTTGCCATGTACTTTCACGACGTGTACGAACTCATCCAGAAGCGCGCCGTGTGGCAAGTCATGATCTTCTACTTCATGTTCAACCTGCTCGCGACTGGAATCGGGTCGTTGGCGGGCAACTACATCCAGGTTTACTGGGCCCACGTCGAGCCCGTCAACAGCGCCGTGGTCGGCGTGATCGCGAATTTTATCATAGCCGCCACGTTTTTCGCCGTCGGCCGGTGGGGCACCCACTGGAACTGGCGATTCATCTTGGTTATCTCGACGTTGTGTGGCGCCGTTATCGATGCCATTGTGCAGTACCTCACCATCTACGACATCGTCCGCAACCAGTGGTTCTACATTGGCGTTCCCCTCACCGCACAAGTTCCCCACGCCGTCCAATTCGTCGTGTCTACGTTTGTGGTTGTTGAATTGGCGGGCGATGGCAACGAAGGCCTCATGTACGGCCTGCTCACGACCATGGGCAACCTCCCCATGCCTTTTGGAACAATGGTCACCAACGTCTACTCGACGCAGCTCAAAGTGACCAAAGCCGACATTGAGACTGACACGGCAGAAGTCCGCAACCACGCCGCGTACTCGTACTTGGTTGTGTACGCGACAACTGTCCTTGCATGCTGCTGGGTGGTGATCCTGCCGTCCCAAAAGGCCGCTGTCAAGGAAATGCTCCAACACGGAGCTAAGTACCCCACCATAGGCGCGTTGATCATCGTCTTGACGTTCGTCATCCTTTCTGTCTCCGTCACGTCCATCATGATGACCATGTTTGAATCCACGTCGTGCCACCTCTTGGCCGGTGGTCAGGGGTGTTAATCAACGCTACCGAAGTCCATAGTATGTATTTGTGAGTAAGAAATGCAAAGTCTTTTGTTTCACACGAGCTTACTTGCTCATTAGCGTGGGTGGCTCTCAAATCAGGTTGGATTCAACGTGGCGGTTCGTTGGGCTCGTCCAGTTTGACTTCTCATCTCAATACATCATCGTGCTCGAAGTACGTACTACTGTACGTACTTCGAGCACGATGATGTATTGAGATGAGAAGTACTACGTAGTACACAACTTTGCGCCACACTTGGGTTGCTACGGAGGTTGATAGTGTGATGGCCAAATGTCGATTGGGAAAACAATGCACCCAAAAGAGGACGTAAGAAGCAAGATGCGCGTGAAGCGACAACACCCCTGTTGTCTTGCGCCGGTGTTCGCAACCGACGACAACCGTGACCACAACGGTGACCTCGATGAAAAATCCAAAAGAAACTTCATTATCCAGTCAATCAGTCAGTTCCCTCCTTTCACTTCACTACTCTCTACAAGTCATGCATCGTACAGTGTACCATCAGCTATGCCTCTCAAAATTCAGGTCATATATCACACTCTTCAAATGTCGTGTGTGACCAACATTCGGCTACCCACACTCAGGCACGGGGAGTCGAACAACAGCGCAGAAACCAGGGCTCCGGAGGCCACCGCCAAATCAGTTCCTGAGTCCAGGAGTGATGCCTGTACGGAAAGGACACCGTCTATAATAGCCGGGAGCTCTGGTAGTTTCGTGTCCGGGACATCCGACTTCACCATCGCCACGCGGCCACCAGGTTCATTTTCCGCCGACCCGACCATGTCCATACGTATTTTCGTGTGCTCATAGCAGTTGCTTGACCGCTTCAAGGGTGATCCCGGGACCCGATGGCTAGTCGACTTACAGTTCAGACAACCGTTGGTCAGTACACGAAGAGCCGGTGCTTCCGAAACAGTGCCGGGAACGTCTCCCTTCGGGACCCTGGGTCCTCCGAGGAGCTTAGGTAGGTCGTCTCGGAGGCGGCCTCAACGCTTCATCTTAACTCACAAAACGCTCGTGTCTGATCGCATATTCGTGCAACCAGCGCATGAAACGGTAGACATCCTTCTTCAAAGGCTTCTTTCGCGTCAATGCCATCTACTTGATAACGCCACGGTTTAGCGACGCAAGCTTGACGGCGTGCATGATATTCTTCACGATCCCCTGGGTCTCTTTCCAGAGAACCCACTCCTAGCGGTCCCGATGGATAGACGCAGCCATACCATCCAGCATATCTCCCATCCGGGAATTCGCGCCCGGGACCGAGATATCACAAACAACAATAGATTTAATCTGCTTATTCAGGATGTCCAGGGTCCGGGAATCAACGCCGAAACCTTGCTTGAACCATGATACAAATTCGCCCTCCGACACGTCATCGGGATCCTTTCCATGTCCCATTCGGCAATTCGACGAAGGTTCGATACACGCCTTCTCCGTCATGGTGAACGGTCATACCCCGTCGGCAGTCAAAGCATACGTCTCGCTAGTATACAGGTTGTAAGCGGTCATAAAAACGCGTTGTTCGTCCGTGGTGGATCCCTTGAACGTCGGGTTCTTCGGGAGGGCTAGAGTGTTGTGCAGGTTCACGTCGTTCTGTCCCATATCCACATCTTTTTGTCAGGCGCAGGTCCGGGATCCCCCGGATGTAGCGCCAAACCTGGGAGCCGCAAGCGTTGCTGGTCTCCCGTAACTCCAGGCCTAATCAACCGCCACCCGTTGTCGCCTTCGTTGTGGTGACCGGAAAAGCCGCCGCGCAGTCGCACTGGTCCGGGGCCTTCCACGATCTTCGAAGCGTTCCACGTTCGATGCACGGGCCGCAGGACTCGCCGAGCGATCCGACCGGGATCGAGCTCCGACATAGTTCCCGTGGGCTATTGTTCTCAGGAAATTATCCCGGTACTAACTTGATTGATTTAAAGAAGCGAGTAAGAATATATCAAGCTTAAGTGTGGGAGTTGGAGGCTTGAACATGAACGTCTGGGACTTCTCGTTCTACAAGCCTGTTGAGTTGAAGCCATTATTAACATCATGCAGTCGTAACGCTGATGCAAACATTTGCCAGTGCAAATTCCAAAATTGAATTTCATTCACGGGTATCGTATGGTTTCACTAATCTCACTCATCACCTGTCGTCGATTTGAACAGGACGGCTGAAGCCCATGTTGTAATGTTCGGGCGACAATATGGTTTATTCAGCTCAAGCTCTGTCGACCAAGGTGAGCATTCCCTCCAAAATGGTCGATATTGGGCTTCCAAACTGTGGACCTCGGTGTTTATCTACAGTATCCGAAGAATGCAGAGGAGACTGCGAATAATTAAAATAGCTTACTATTTATAGCGTAATAATTCCTACCAGTACAATTTATTGCACCATAATGAAGAGAAGAGGGGTTCGATTCAAAAACTACGACACCAAGGGAAAAACCAATACGAAGCCGTGGCTGAATAAACCAAGGGGTACCACGTTACAAACACCAACTCAATCATCTCCCAGTATAGTAGTACTACTAGATAATGCTTAGTAGATGATACTATCAATAGACATACTACTAACGAATACTCCGGAGTAAAAGTTTATACGGAATTCAAAGTGACCAGTCATATCTCAAAGTGACCTGTCAATGACAGTAGCTAATGATGCTCCGTACAGTGATGTGCCATTGCCGTCGCTTCATCCTGCAATCGCACCACTTCATGTCCCCGCAACATCCTGCCCTCGCAACACCATGTCCGCGCACCATACCTGTAATAGATCACCAGTTCAAATACCGATCTATCTCCGAATTCGGCTTTGAGTTTGTGAAGGACACTACGTCACACGAAAGACGTTTGCATCTAACTATTGTCGATTTGATACAAATTTGGGGAGGGGGTGCAATCGAATAGCGCCGACCAAACCGATCCACAATCGATCTGATTGGTTGAATTTCCTTGAGAAGGTTTTGATTGGCTAATAATTTTGAGCTCATCTGAGGTAGCCAATCAAATCGATTTAAATTCCAACGAGAAACCACGCCACAACACGATATTTCACTCGAAAGCACAATATTGACATACTCTTCTAGTCAGGGATCGACGCTTGGAAGAAAGACTTAGCAGTGAGGAATAGATTCAGCTATTTCCAATGGAGCTCTATGATTGCTCAAAACAAGATCATCGATCAAAAACAAGCATGCTGAAAATATAAAATACATATTTTATTTAATCTTGAAATTTGTATGCAAAAAAAAAGATTTTTTCGTATACAAATACCAAGTGTAAATTGCCATTTTTTCTAGCGGCGGGTGTTGACGGTTGGAGAGAGGAAAGCGCCACGGGTAACCAAAGAAGAACGCATCGACTCAGTTGCGAGTCTCTCTGCACGACGGTGGACGTAGCGGCGTTGTGTCGCTGCACGCTGCGATTTCAAGAACCGCACGGTACTGGTGGAGGTCGTCGTCCCGAAGGGGCATGAGCCTAACATGGAAATTGGTCAACGCGAAGGTCAGTCGTTGAATGCCATCGTATATTTTATCGCCCCAAACAACGGACGCTTCTTTGGGTGGATGGCGCGGACCGACTCAGTCAGGCCATAGTAACCCTTGTCTACAAGTACCGCCCACATGGTTGAGAATGCTTAGAAGAGCTCACCATTGTCATTCACGGTTGCTTCCGTAGGTGTCTTCTTCAGATTCGTTACGTGCACATCCAGCCGCTTGCGGAACATTGTGAGGTCGGCAACCGATCCAGGTTCGTGGGGACCCATATCCACGAGCAGACCTTGCGCAGAAACGGATGCTTCGATCTTGAGTCCGTAGAGCTTATGCTTGCCGCTGAAGTAGTGTTTTTGCTCCCCGAAGCGGCCGGACGGACGGTGGGATGGTTGGAACTTGACGTCGGTTGCGTATTTCGCATACGGGTAGTTGCGGAACGTCGTACCGTGTTCACGCAGGGCCTCCATGGTTGGCATCGTGACGAAATGGGCGTAGATAATTGGAGAGATAACGTCGACCACACGTATTATCATTTTCT